GTGGACCACTCCGTGCCGTGCAGCACGCACGTTCCGTTCTCGCCCCGGGACCGGGCCGGCCGTTTGATCCAACCACTATCGGAGATTGTCCCGCGCGGAGGCGCGTGGGTTCCCGCCCGAACAGCCCCAACGGTCCACCGGCGAAATCGTGCGCGTGTTCCCCGGGGTTTGTATGCCCCGTTGAGGACGACCGGTTCGGTGTCTCTCGCGACCGCCGAGACCCACGAAACGGGCGAGAACGAGCGGGTTCCCTCGCTCGTCCGCGCGGGCCGGGCGTGACGCTTCGTGCCCCCTGCGGTTGGGGGGGGTGTCGCTGTAAGTAAAGTATTGTGTTGTACGAAGTACGGTACTAGAGTATTGCGTTCCATCTATCTTTCGCCTCGATAGTGCATCACGTAGGATTTCGTGCTTCTACCGTACCATAGGTCGGTCGATAGTACCAGCTCTTGGCCCCCCTGGCCTGTGAGACCGTACTACGGGTACAGCTACTCGCAACRATGCGGGTACGAGTACCCGTACCCGCAAAAAAACCGCATCACGCTTCTTGTATCGTGCTCTACCTTTAGGAGGGTGCTTGTACCGTAAAGAAGGTTGCGCAGAGTGCGAAGCTGCCCCGTGCCAGCGGCAAACGCGATCACCATCGCGTACCGCAAGTCAATAACTACMGTASCGTACACGAGGCTATTTTCTGTTCACGAACCCCGTTCTCTCGTTCCCCGAGGTTCCTGTTCCTGACCCGCAGCACCCTTGCGAGTATTATATTGTGCGAACTACGATACTACGAGTACAAGTACTACGAGTACTCGTACGTTTGGCACACCTGCGGCAACCCATCCACGGAGGCGGATTACAACCCGTTTCGGTCCGAAGACCTGTTGTTGGTTAGATTTTGTTGGTTAGATTTTGTTGGTTGTTTGGTGGAGGACCAAACGAGAGACACAGAGAGACAGAGACACGAAGCGATCACAASGACCACAGCCCGAGCGCCCGGCAACGCCCAAAACACCGTAGCAAACAACAAGCACTACCTCGCTTCGCTTCCCGACACTCGACCCGGGTTCTGTTCGTTCCCTGCTTGCTCGGGATTGCACCGGCGTGGACGAGATCGGACACGGCAATCCTCGGATGGCGAAGGGAGTCATCGCTTCAGACCCGATCGCTGGCTCTTTTTGGTAGTACTTGTAGTCATTGAGTCATTGAACCCTGCCCCGAACGCAACGTCTTTTTTGGCATCGCATCGCATCGCATCGGGAGGAATCGCCGTTGGTGCCCGAGAGAAGACTCATCGACGACACGTTCAGACGACACGTTCAGACGACACGGACAGAGGACACCTTCCAAAGCAACTYAATTGAACGCAATTGTTGCGCAACGCAACAGAAGCAGAAACAGAAACAACAACCCGTTCGCCAGAATAGAATGCCTTCCTCCGAGCTCTGCTACCCGGGCTCGGGGAGACCGTCGGCGCCGGAAAGCGGGCGTTCSGGGTCTCCGAAGCGACGATCCCGGGCGCGTCCCCCGGTGTCGTACGGAACCACGATTTCCAACGGGGGGGTTCCCACGGTGGTGGCCCTCAAGGGCGGCGTCCGGGGGGGCCACTCGGTTGTGGCCTCGTACAAGCCGCGCAACGTGCAGCAGCAGCCCCTCGGGCTTTCTCCGGGGGACTACACGTCCTCCGGGGACGGCCGTCTCCAGGCGGGTGGCAACGGCAACATCAACAKCAACAGCAACAGCGGCAGCCAGAGCGGTTCTAGGGGCACGGTGCACCCGGAGTTCTGGCCCAAGGGACTGACCAACGTTGGAAACACCTGCTACGCCAACGCCGCGCTCCAGTGCCTGCTCAGCACGGCCCTCACGAGCGCCCTGCTGGACCCRAAAACGATGCCGATCCTGCGGAGGTACTCGTCGAACCCGAACCTCCTCGCCATGGGAAGCGGCAGCGTGGACTCCTCGGACGACGAAAACGACGACGACAGCGACGACGACGGCTGCGGCCTCAGCATMGACAACGACATTGACGAGGAAGAAGACGGGATCTTTCTGGACAGCAAGGGCGTCGCGCTYTCCAAGTCCTTTTCGCCGACCCAGGGGGCTTCCAAGAGCGATTTGGCCCGCAAAACAGAGAAAAGGGCCGCGAAAGCGAAGAAGAAAAAGAAAAGGGAGGCCAGGAAGGCCAAGGCGGAGAACGCGGCCAAGCGAAAAGAACGCGAGCAGCGGAGAATGGAAGAAACCTGCAAGTGGCTCACGAGGGAACTCACCAGCATCGCGCAGGAGTACACGGAAGAATCGAGCACCTCCCTCAGGCAGTCGCCCGTCGGCGGGAGCTCGATCGGGGGAAAGACTTCCTTTGTGGGATGGCTGTCCTCGTCCTACAGCCAGACCCTGGGGATCGGAGGCCAGGAAAAGCAAGACAGCCACGGGGTGGTCAATCCGGGGAGCATCACGAGGCATCCGAACCGCCTTTCGCAGTGTCTGAACCCCTACCAGCAGGAAGACGCCCACGAGTTTATGCGGGCTCTCCTGTCGAACCTCGTCATGAACGGCCACAACCGACAGCTCTCGAGCCTCTTCGACGGCCTCCTCGAGAGTTCCGTCACCTGCCAGACCTGCGGTAGGGCGAGTCTCACGAGGGACAGGTATATGGACCTGAGCGTCGACATTAACGACGTGGACATTACCACCCTGGACGATGCCCTGTTTGAGTTCACCAAGGACGAGTTGCTTACCGAGGACAATGCCGTCTTTTGCCAGAGGTGCCGGAAGAAACAATCGGTGACGAAGGGCCTCCGGTTGGCCACCGCACCCTCGATACTGGTGGTCCACCTCAAACGCTTCGCCTTTAACGACTACGGACGGTTGGTGCGCCTCCACAAGCGCATCGAGTTTCCGCAGCGACTCGAAATCGGGGACTACATGTCCAACCTGAACAAGGCACGACCGCCCGCCTACGAGCTTGTAGGGGTCTTGGTCCACCAGGGCCAGACCTGTGCCAGTGGACACTACCTTTCCTTTGTGAAAAAGAACATGGAATGGTTCAAGTGCAACGACAGCGAGGTGTCCAAGGTCGAGGAGAGCACCGTCATGATGCAACAGGCCTACATTCTGATGTACGAGGTGTCGGGAATGAGAGAAAACACGTGCTTTCGACCCAAAACACTGCGCAAGGAGTCCTCGATCATGTCCACGATCGAGTCCTCGGACGACGCGACCCTCCCGAGGGAAGACTTTTCCGTCTGCGGAACGCACTGGTCGGCCAGCGACAAAACCTCCAGCGGGAGGTCGGGGAGCAACAGGGAAGGACTGGGGACCTACGGCAACCCCTTTGGAACCGATCACCCCAAGAGCATCCGGGGCAAGCACGAATCCACCACTGAGTCGATCCTGCGGGTTCTGAGCGAGGCCGGAGGCCGACTCATTTCCGACATTTGCTGCGACAGCGGCATGAGGGAACCCGAGGCCCACGTGCTGGAAGACCGACATTTTCACAAGCACAGCGACGACTTTAACTTCAACAACCTGGGACACCGCCGCCACTTCAACAGCGGCAGGTACGCCCACGAGTGCGAGTCGGTCGACACACAGGATTCCCTTATCCGGCGGCAGGCGCTGCTCAGCGGCAGGGCGCCCAATCCGATCAACGTCCTGGAGGTCCAGCCCAAGCGCAAGACGAGGGGATCCCACCGGTCCCAGACGGCACCCCGGCAGCGCGGGGAGACGCACCCCGCCTCGCGGTATTCTTCCTTCACGCCCCGCCTCGACGCCAACGGACAACCGCCCTTTCGCAAGTTTCCCTCGAACGGGAACCTCGTGGCCCTGGACGACAGCATGTCGATCTCCTCGCGGAGCACGCTGACGAAGCGGAGCAAGGACTCGCTCCGGTCCCGGCGGTCCAGGGGCTCGTCCAGGCCGGGGAAAGCCGAGGACGCTTCTGCTTCTGCTTTGGGCGTCTTTCCACCGCGGAACCCCGGGAGGACGCGCCGCAAGCCCTCGCCGCGGCGGTAGGGAAGGCCCAAGGCACGCACGCACGCACCCACTCCCCCCCCCCCAACACAAGCAACGCGCACACATACACACACACACACACACATACGCACCACGAAACCATTTTTTAAAAACTATATTATTACAATCAATACAACACTACGAAACCATGGACTCGTTTTCCTAAAAGGACAGTATGTAGTGCGTAGCGCAAACAAGAACAAACTCTAGTGATTGTTTTGTTCCGGGAGAGCAGTGGGATCCTCTTCCAATTCGRCATGGAAGAACAACACAGACCCCCTGAGCTTTGTGGCGTTTGGTTGCTTTCTTTTGGGACTTCGTACGGTACCGTAAAGTATCGTACTACGGTACGATGAGTACGAGTGGTGTGCCCTACGTAACATTTTGTACGGCAGAAGACCGCAGGTTCGAACCGTACTGTACTACCGTACAGGATCATCATTTTTTTTGTCCGGATGGTTCTTGTTCTGTTTCCTTTCTGAACACCGAGAAGGTGATTGTTTGTTTCGGTTCGTGCCAAACCATTCCGGATTCGGTGACGAAGGAGAAGCAGAAACAACCTACMTATTGCGGCACGAAAGAAAACGCACCGATACGCACCGGTACCGCACGCACAACRTTGTCGGGGTTCCGGTTTGTTGATTTCGGTGCTCGTTGTGTCTGATTGTTTGTCTTCTGCAAGAACATACCCTCGGCCGAACCATGAGCACGAACGATTCGAAAGGCGGTCCGGCGAGCAGACCGACCACGGTGATGCACGGCGCGATACCGGGAGCCATCGGCGTCCACAGCGAAAGCATCAAAACGATCGAAACAACGAAACCACCGGGCCCCGGCGGAGGAAGCGACGGGCGCGCTGCCTCTGCCGGCACGCCAGCRGAATTCTGGGTGTCCGTCGTTGCCCGGTGGAAACTCTTTGCCTCGTCCCTATACGATTCGACCGTGGAGTTTGTCGCGGGGTTCATATCCGATGTTCTGAGCCACCACAGAGTGGAAAAAGCTGTCATTGATGTGATCGTCCGGGCTATCAACGCTTTCTTGGACCAGGAAGACATTGGGTCGAAAATGGACGTCACCGCACGGCGGGTTATCTACGACCGAGAAAAGGCCAAAGAAGCATCGAGGGCACTCGGCAAAGAAGTATTGCCCATGGTAACGGGATTCGTCGGTGGTGTTGCTCACTCGTTGACGCCAAGCCTGATGAAAAAAAAGAAACAGTCGAAAAAAGATCGAGAGGAAGCCTTCGACTCCTGCCCCTCGGGCTTCGATATCTCGGAAGGAGACGATGAAAATTCCGAAGACGACGGGGACGGACGGGGTTTTGGCAATAGCAAAAAGACAAAATAACGAATTTTTCTAGTTTATGTGTGTGTAAAAGCATCATTTGTCTTCCTTTTTGGAGGAAACTATGTCATGAGGGATAAGATCTCAAAGCACAACTTCAGATAATGTATTTTTTACTGCTTGGACTTGCCTGGCCCACAAATCAGAATATCGCTGGTGCACAGCAGTCGTGATAGAATGTTGGTCATGAACTCGGTTGTCGCCCGTCGAAGACCGATTTATCGAGACTGGGCATTCCTGACAAGCCCTCTTCTGTATCCAATTGACCCCGAGGAAGCCTAGTTCCTTGCGATCTGCCAAACAAAAGCAACAAAACATTCGTCTGAAAACAGATCATTTGGCGTTGGATGAAGTTTGAAATTGCTATGCCGCTCACATTGTGCTAGTATTGGAATATCAGGACTTTCCTCCTCGCGGTATTGCCTCGATGTAGTGACAAATAGAAAGGCACATGACAACAACTAAGATAGCCAAAAAGTGTTCAGTTGAAAGCATAAGAGTGGCAAGGAATTCAGCAGGCACACTTGGTAAATTTTTACAGCAGCTGCACATAAATAGTTTGCAATAGTAATACTACTACTACTAGTACTACAAGAAAAGAGAAAGTGAGATTTTTCAATAATGTTTTTTGCTATTTTTTCATTGATTTAACGTATGACGGACAGACTTAGAAATCTGAACCAAAACAGCTTGACGTCGACGGCTAAGGGAATTTAATTTTTTGGGAACTTTTTCATGGAAAATCCGTTTTTGGCACACGAGTTGTTTTTTAAATTAAAAATGTGAGGAAGGACAGGCAAAAATTGACAACGCCTTCCTTCCATCACATCACGAATCATGAATCAGCACTGAATTCACTCATCATTCTATTACACATCCATCATCCATCATCCATCTGCAGCAGTTCAAAGTGGTCAGAAAGAACTCGCACTAGGTTTGGAGTAGACATCGAATTACTTACAACAGCGACTAGAGACAGGAAAGTCAAAAATGCTTTCAACGGCAAGATCCACCGTTGCTGCCGTGAGCGCAAGATGCAGGACATCGTTTTCTCGAGTAGCGAGAGCAGTTCCTAGTGAGACCGCAATGGGAAGCCGATCGTTCTCGTCGCCGTCTTCGGGATCGTCAAAAATTATATCTCCCTATTTCATCCCTTTGTTCCCGGACTCAGAGAAACCGAAGACAGCAGACAACGAACCGCCGCCCAACTGTGACGTCGTTCAGGGTCCATCCCTGCTGAGGACGCCCGCGCCAAGGCCCCACCCCACTCTTATGATTATGCCCGGTATGCGATCCTTGCCCTTCTGGACAAGTGATTCCACTCCAACCCCGAGTTCCAACCCCGGGTCAAGTGCACCCCCTCCCCGAAGAAGGATTGCCTACAACGATCCCTCTGTATCAAGAGCCGTCGAATATTTAGAGCAACACGCGGATATCATTCGGGAAGAATACTTGCGGGTGGCCCCGTCTCTGCCGTCCGACTACGAAAACCTTCAAGACCACACGCAGGGTAGTGGCGACGGAAAAAGCAACGATACGAAGCTCCACGACGGAGATTGGGATTGGCATACCTATCTTTCAAAGGGGAACGTTCAAGGCGATTTCGTCATGAAATTCCCCGAGACCTCAAAGATTTTGAACGATGGGTTTCGAGGCGAGGAAAACAACTACCAACTGTTCGAAGGCACGCCCTTTGGGTTTGTCTTTTTCAGCAACCTCGGGGGAGGTGCTAAGATAGCCCCTCACAACGCACCGACCAATCTTCGCTTGCGCATCCATTTGCCGATCATTGTCAATGACGAGAGCGTGAATCCTGAAACCGGAATACCAAACTGTGGAATCCGCGTCGCAACATCAATAAGGCCATATAAACAAAATAATGCGATTGTTCTGGATGATGCCTACGATCACGAAGTATGGAATGAAACTGCCGAAAACAGAGTCGTCTTGTTGGTCGATATATGGCATCCTGATGTGACACAAGCCGAGAAGGAGGCCGTTGTGGAAATGTTCCAAAAAGCTAAAAGAGATGGCTTGTGGAAACGATAAAACTAAAAACCAATATGCGAACGATCTTATTTAAATGGAACTCTCTTACAATGTATGCTAGCTACATCGTAGCATGGCACAGGGAAGCAGTATGACCTCCTTTTTCAACGATCATTTGGCTATCGGTCACATTTAGCTCCCAGATCACAAAATAAATATTGAAAAACCACAGGTGTCGTGTTGCCTTTGCTCGAATACCTGTATGATATCAGTCACAGTAGTGACCGCCCTGAAGGTTGAAGCAACTGAATTGTGATGAACCAAGTTGTATTTTCGATTGCGGCTTATGGGTCCAACTCGCTAACTACAAAAGGTATGCTATCTGGCTGGTAGACAACAATCTGTAGTTTTCGAGTGAAAGAGAAAACAGAGGGCATGAGTTGGGTTGGTCGTCGTACGAATCTTTTATATCGATAGGAGACTCACCTCTTCGTTCTGTTCGAGATCTCTCAATGCCACGAGATCCCATGACATGGATAAAGGATATTCCTGCACAGGTTCGATCGGAATGAATTATGTTAATACCATTAAAGTTTAGAAAGCATTTATCCAAACAAATAAAATGCATGTTCTGTGTGAGTGGATGGGGTAAAAAAATATGACAGGGTTTAATCAAGAATGTTTTCTCACCTCTAACAGCAGTCTTCGCTGCAATTCTTTCTCTTCCAAAGATAGCGATATGAACGATGGCAAAGGCGATTTCGTTAGCCAGGATTTCATCTCCAATGGGATCGATTGCAGAGTGCTATTGCTCCACCGRTATTCGACGTTTGCAAGGCTTTGGTCGTTGCTGTATTCCGCAACGCCATTCAGTGGACAAATTGATACCTGTAGCGAAGGTGGCAATGATTTCGACAAAGCCAGGCAGTTGTTTTCTCCCGCTTGCAGGTACGGATATACCAAAAGTGGAACTACCGTCACAAGACCACCCTTGGCAAATCCATTCTTTTTTGCAACGGTTTGTTTATAGGTTGACGTACACGAAGCTGACGAAGAGGCACAAGATTGTTCAACCTCTTCAGAGTGTGTAGCACCTACCCCAGTCCCTAGTGTTGATTGCCATTGTGGGCTCGACATGCATTGTGCATTGGTTATGGTAAACATAGAATGGTTCTTCAAGGACCCCAGAAGTGAAGAATAAGGGGATTGCCCATCGCTTTTTTGGTGATACGTCGCCAACACCTGTGCTTTAGTAGGAAGTAGTCGCGCAACTAACGGAGCGTAGTGCGAAACAGTTTTTTGCCAAAGCTGCAATCCGTTATTGATAAGTTCTTCAGACTCTGACTTGTAGAGACTTTTGGTATCTTTTCTGCCAGATTTATTTTTTATTTTGTTCCATCTAGCATTACTGCTGCGATATGGTTTCTTCTTGTTATTGGTCTCTTCGGCATTGCGAACACCAAAATACTGGGTTTGTGCATCCCGGATGAGAATGTCGGCTTGCAAGAAATCTTCGAGAGATGGCAAACGCTTCGCAAAGACGTAGTCAAATTCTTCAGCAGCACTTTCCCCAGATTTTGAATCTCTTGAACTTGGTCTATACGGATGATCATCCCAGGAAAGAAATAATTCTTCGCCTAACTTGATATCTCGTGTGGCTGTGAGAGATGACAGCAGTTTTTCTTGCGATGATATGCTGTCCCAACGCACATTAGATAATACCGAGTGCGGTTTTAGAAGAAAAGACAAAGGAGGTATTCCCTTAATAGGTTTTGACTCAAAACGTGCTGCATCACMCTCGCTTGGGACATTGTCGTGGTAGGTGGAACGAGGAGGGGAGAAGTAATAGCCGTACTCCATTCGAATCGTCTCCCCTTGTAGATAGTCTCGTCCCGCGAACATGCCCCATCCAGAATTTGGAATCGACGATGAACCCAAGTAGAGGCCACAATCTCCGATGTCCCTCCGAAGCTCTCCCTCTAGTGTGAAAAATTCCTTTAATTTCGCGACTGTGGAGTTCTTTTTGCGTTCGATATTCTGCTGCAATCTCTTTACCGGTGAAACTAATCTTCGGTTTTTTTTCTCCTCCTCGCTCAGTTTAATATTACCCCAAAAGCTACCCGCTTTGATCGAAATGTTCAATAGAAACACCAAGAATCCCACTACAAAAATCATGTGTAATACCGGATTGCTACCTTTACCTAAAGTGATGCGTTGTGGAATGTGAATAGCGTAATCGTCTTCACTAGCATTGCCATCACTGAAGGGGCAATCCTTGTCGGATTCGCGCACATCGATTTTTCGTCGTTGTATCGCCCTGGAATCTCTTGCTGCTACCTTCGGGTGCGAGGAAGCCACCATACTTTTGTTTTGTTCTGTTGCTTTTTGTTTCTTTTTAATGGGGTCGTTTTCTCGATGGTAGTTTGATAGAGAAGTCGATAAAATTGACTCCTTGTCGCAATACCCTTTTCAAGTAATCATAATCATATCCATTACTTCTGCTATTATGCTATTACTGTATTCCGCGGAAGTTGTGGATGCATCGAACATCGTTTTATTACGACCGTTACGTGTATCAAAGTACGACTCGTAAAGACCCTCAGGTATGAACGTGGAGTTACTCCTTTTCGTGACCCCTGGTTCCCAGTAGAGGAGAAGCATTATTTCTTTCCATTCGTGATTGGATAGAATTTGAAGTCTCGGGTAAAGGTACTACAGTAGACGTTAGACGTACCGGCACGGTGGCTAATATCCGATTTCTGAAGCATGAGTTTCATTCGGTACGTTCTAAACTCATAAATATGTGGTAATGCATTCTCGATAGGATATTACAGAACTAAAATTACTCCGATTTCAGACCATGCGCTCCGCTAGTCAGCTGCATTTGTTCGCAACAAGGCACTCGTCAAAATCGACGTGAACCAATGGCATCCTTGAATGATATCACAAAAACCCATCGCCCATTCGTTTATTTGTTCTTCTTAGCTTCATGTGCCTGGTATTCATCGAGATGATCGGTCTTCCATTCGTTGTTGTAATCTCCATTGACAACCTTTTTGGGAAGTTTGAAGTCTTTAAGTTCACCGCAATCCGCAATAATAACCTCATCAGATGCCTTACCACTGGCGGAACCGACCGCCTCGATTGCCTTGACTACTTCCCAGCCATCTTCTACCTGACCAAAAACAACGTGCCTGCAATCCAGCCACTTGCAACGAGCCGTTGTGAAGAAAAACTGCGAGCCATTGGTATTCTTTCCCGAATTGGCCATACTTAACAAACCAGGAGTGTTGTGGGTGATAAATAATTCGTTCTCGTACCACTCATCTTCGAATTTACCGCCGTAAATGCTTTCTCCACCGGTTCCGTTGCCGTTTGTGATATCACCTCCCTGGCACATGAAGCCCGGGATGATTCGGTGAAATACAGATCCCTTGTAGTGGAGTTTCTTGCCGCTCTTGCCGACACCCTTTTCACCCGTGCAAAGGGCCCGAAAGTTTTCAGCTGTTTTGGGGTTGATCGTTTTGAACAACTCCATCTGGATGCGCCCAGCTTTTTTGCCTCCGATTTCAATGTCGAAAAAGACGCGGGGATTATTCTTACTGGTGACGTGATCAGAATCACGAAACTGGATCAAGAACTTGGGTGGTTTGCCTCCACTAACGGCGGTTTTTGTTAATTATATTTTGAGTCATAATGATCGACACCGCGTTGAAACCAAACCAAAACACGAGTTTCAAAGGAACATGTATTGTTGACATTAGAAAGTAAAGAAATAAAATGATTATCGATGCTTGACCATTTTGTCTTGAATCTATCGAGATCAACAACTTACTCCAGACCAGTTGCGGCAGCAAACAGGAAGAAGATTGGTGCCCCGACGAGGAATTTGTAGAATAGATTCAAGGAGTTCCAGTAGGCAATGGCGTCGGCCACGAATGCAGTCGGCTGAGTTGTAAAAGAAGATTGAATCGGATTTGAATAGTGAGAAAAATGGCTTTGCCCAGAGAGATTCCTTTACCTATATAGTGAGAACGATGACGAAAACCATACGCCGGCGATCTCTGCATAATKTCGAAGTACGCACATCGAACGCCGACACCATCGGAACGATGCAAAGGAGGGAAAGTGCCACGAAGGCCACAGCAGTTTGTTTTTGAAGCTTTAAATTCAACATTGCGTTGTTTGTGTAAGTGAGTTATTTGTATCTTGTAAATGTGATGAATGCTCTTGTGACTTCCAATTAATGAATAACAGGTGTTGGGAAGTTAGGGTACAAATAGTGTGCGGTAGGATGTAATCGAACCCCTCATGACGCGTACATGTACGACTTGAATATTACGGTAGCTTGTCTGCACCAAGAGTGCCCGGTACAGGTTTGGGCATGACAAGGATAGTACTTCGTGCTACTTTTGCACTACATACGTACCGTACTAGCCTAGCAGTAGACAAGTTTTAGTAGGTAGGGGAAGTTTTACCGTCAATTTTAAAAACTCGAGGATATGACTAGATTTTGTTTTAAATTTCTCTTCTAGCCGTTATCAGAAAAATTCTAAAACCGCGAGTTAGATGAAACCTGCCGACCGAGCGAGCAAGCCTTGATAAGATTTGAAGACTGTTGTAAAAAACTTCTAATGATTTTATTCGAATGAGTCGTCGCTCGTTCACACTTTTATCCGCGCCAAACTGTACTAAGGCGCGGTTTGTCATTGTGGGCACACGAYGTTGCATGGCTTCGGATTCCTGCCAACATAATATCGTAGTACCACATCTTTACACCCCAGTGAAAACAACCAAGGGAAGCAAAGAGGCTGAGAGAGGCCTCGACCATCATTGAATCGAAGTGAAATAAAACGAATCGATTTTCCGAAATGAGCCTTTCCGGAAAAGCAAAAGACAACAGCAATCTGCCATGGGTCGAAAAGTATCGGCCTGAGCGGTGAGTCCTTGCAACGGCATGCCGTTTGCTACCAACACCACTCCCGACAAATAGAAAGAGTAGCGTGAACTACACTGATCCAATCTGTTCATTCAAGTCATTTAATTTGAATTAACCCTTGGGTTGTTGGTAGATGCGGAAGTACCTGTTCATACTGATATGAATTCGTAATTTTTGTGGTTACTAGTGTGAAGCTTGTCCCTTCAAGTTCCTTCCAATCTAACACACATATTCTAAACGCATTCCACAAATTATGCTTAACTGTTAACTGTATTCGGCTATTGTTGTGAATGGATTCGCATCATCAACCCGACTTTTTAATACCTCCAACCTATTCCATTCAGGCTTGAAGACTTGGTGGCGCATGAAAAGATTGTGAACATCATCACCACAATGATCGACAACGACAATCTTCCGCATCTGCTCCTCTATGGACCCCCCGGAACTGGAAAGACCAGCACAATCGTTGCTGCCGCCAAGCGCATGTATGGTGCCTCCAAATACAGTTCCATGACGCTAGAATTAAACGCGAGTGACGCCCGTGGGATCGGCGTGGTCCGGAACGAAATCAAAGAGTTCGCTGGCACCCAACAACTCTTCTCCCGGGGAGTCAAGCTCATCATTCTAGACGAGGCCGATGCGATGACGTCCGACGCACAGTTTGCCCTGCGCCGAGTAATTGAAAAATATACTAAGAATGCACGGTTTTGTCTCATTTGCAACTACGTTTCGAAGATCATCCCGGCCCTCCAGTCCCGGTGCACACGATTCCGGTTTGCTCCGCTGGCTCCGAGTCAAATCCGCGGCCGTCTTGAGGAAGTTGCAAGAGAAGAAAAGGTGCCAATCACAAAGGACGGTGTTGAAGCTATATTGGATCTTAGCGGTGGGGATATGCGACGGGTCCTGAACTTGTTGCAGTCGACGGCCATGTCCCTGTCGGCAACAAGAAGCAGCGTTGCTGCCACCTCATCCGACATGGAAATCGATGATGAGAATGCGAGTAGAAATGCCGCCGTCGACGAAATAGCTGTGTACACCACCAGTGGCTCTCCCCTTCCGAAAGATATCGATGAAATCCTCGCTTCCCTGCTGAACGATAGCTTTCGCGACTCGTGCAACAAAATTTCAGAGATGTGCACCACCAATGGATACGCCCTGGCGGACATCTTGAAGCAGCTGACACTGAAACTATGCGCGATGAAAGGGTTGGATTCGATTCCGCTGGGGAGACTGCTAGATGGAATGAGTCAAGTGGAATGCAGATTGGCAATGAGCGGGATTGAAGAGAAAATACAAACCGCTTCTCTGGTTGGGGTATTTGTAGAAACGAGAGAACGACTGGAAATTAAACAATAAAGAAAAAGCAAAAGTCAAATAATTATTTCATGAAACTATAGGGATGAAAGAAGTAATAAAATCCGAAACCATGATGGAAGGACGAAAACGTTGGTGCGAAAAACACTTAGTTTAGAATTCAGACTTTGTTGGGAAAACATTATCCTCTGGTATGGAAAGACGAAGCGATTCAATTGTGCAAAGTGGAACAATCGTAGAAACATCAAGAGGCATCTTGCGGCCAACAGAGGAGAGGTATCGTGTTTGCATCGCAATTCGAAATAGGTATTTGAATAGATAAATATTATAAGGTTCGATGCTTACCAGGATTTTTTTCTAATTCAGGTCTGAGAATAGCAGTTTTACTTTTCTGCCACTGATGATGAGTTCTAATTTATGTCTGCAAAGACGTTTGAAACTGCCTTTGGTGGCCGCTCTGACTCATTCGGGATTCTTGTAGTATAAATAAATCAAGAGGATGTTTTCTCACCATGATTTTCGCCACTCTTTCCAAATAAAATCTGCTTCTTTTCGTTGCGTCGATTCCCGCAACAACACGAAAGCGTTTCCCAAATCCCCACGGCTGATTCTCATGTCTTCGTCCAGGTAAGTAACCGAAAGTTCTCCCTTGAACTTGTCGGGATCCGGCCGAAATTTGATGGGACCGACGCTAAACTCCCGAAACTGGACTTTGACCTGGTTTTTGGTTTGCGGAGCCAAGTCGGCCTTGACGGCATTTTGAACCCCCCAAATCTTCTCGGCGTTGATGGCTCGCCCATTCTCCAAATCAAGTAATTGTTCTGGTGGTGTCTTTGTTTGGAACAAAACCGGCCGGGTCTTCCCAGCAATACTATTGCTCGTCGTCCATATCATCAACCAATTCCCCTGAAGCAACGGGTTTTTCAGGTCGGCACCTCCGAGTATGGAAAACCTTTCGACCTTGCGGATAGCCTCCAATATTGTGTCGTTGGAAGCCCCCGATGTCACTTGCTCGATCAAATCCGCTTTTGCGCGAGATCTGAAACCTTCGACCAACGCGAAAGCATCGCAATGAGCAATGCAACTAGTGATAGCGATCGCGAGAAGGAAAGAGAAGTGGACGTAGTTTGAAATCGAAAGTTGCATTTCTCTATTACGTTTGTTTTGCTTGAGGGAATTTCCAGTTATGCACAGGTCACGGAAGATAAATTTGGATGTATTGGTTTGCGTTTTGATGCATGAAATTCTGTTTTGATTCATTCATTGGAATGATTCCGGTTCGACCCCGATAGAAATAAATACCATACCGTACGTGCAGTACTACTAGCGAACGGTACGTACATTGATTACGTAAAATGAAATGCTGACTCATTTCTAACATTATTTCTAACTGTGGCATGACTTGTGCAACCGGGATTCAACCAGGATGCGTTAACACGTGAGCAATCGAGCTAGAACCTAACCAACCGTACGTCTTATAGTACAATACCTAACGTACAAGTACCTACTGGGTGGATACTTCTAATTTGTAAAAAAAATCTTCATATGTATTTAACCTCGTGAACTAGAAGAGGCAATATATGACCAGAACCATAGCTTTTGGTGGAAAGCATGCTTCTAGTCGCACCGAGGGGCGGCACTTCCCTGGGTGGATAATTTGTACTATTGTCTGAAGTTCTACGAAGAAGTACTATCAACTGTAATACTGTAATTTTGAATACGAAAACTACGAACAAGAACGAATGTATCTACTACTAGTAGTACTAGTAGTACTGTAATATTTCTATTATATCAGCGGCATTACCCAGGGAGACAATCCAATTCTTGCTCTGAGGTTGCAAGGAAGGATGTCACGCAACAAMAAAAWTTGATCCACCACACTTACCCCTATCATCATTATTTGGCTAATTGAAATTATCAACCAATGATCATTTTTCTACTTTTCTTCTTTTGTGATTTTGTGGAAATCTCTTGCGCATGTCACGGAAAGCAACACTCACTTTCTCTCGCGCTGTATCGCAGTCACAGATACTCCACCACCCTTTATCTTTGGTGAGAAAGCGACCGCCGCTTCTCAGCACTTCTTCCACAATTTCCCTAGATATCGACGTCTTTTTGTCTACAGTTAACGCATCTCTGTGTTCAATGAATCTCTTTTCCATCATTTTTCGATAGGCCACATTGGCAGGGTTGCTAGAAACTTGTGGACCCTTCCCTGTCAGAATATCTTTAACAGAAGGACAATCAACACCATCAAAATAAAGTCCTTGCTTGAAAGCACTTTCCTTTGCTTGTCGAAAAGCAAACCACTTAAGGAGATTCTGATTCTTCACATTCCCAGTATTAGTGACCGGGAGAAAGTGAGATGATATTCCACACTCCGATAACTTTTGTTGGCATTCGTGAATTGAACCTGTAATGGAGATAAACAATGTTCCGATAGATCGAATTTTAGGATGAAATCCATAATGACCGCAAAAAATGTATACAATGTATCTTGAATGCTTGTGTTCAAACATGAACTCTTCCACTAATTCTTACCAAAATGCACCCGTGTTCTTGCTCTCATCTCCMGAGTCATGGCAAGAAGTTGCCAGGACCCAAGCTTTCGAAATTGAACGTCATCGTACAGCAAGAAGTGGGAGGCGCTAATTCGAACAGGAGAAACTTGAAAAGCGTGGTTTACCTCTTGAATTACGGTACTTGTAGGCTCTAAGGGCCAGAATAAAAACACGCATCCTTGTTTTTGTGTTTCCTCGTCTTCCGATATAACTTGCATCAAATACGCAATGACCTTTATCTATTCAGCAACAAGATGACCATGTAAAAGAAATGATTATTATTTGTTTGTTTTTAGACTTCGGAAAAAACGCGATCTCGAACAATTGAAGGCTACTTACTTTATTTTTCAGAGTGTGATTTTGGGTGCCAAGGTCTCCCAACATAGCTATGATTCTTCGTCCCGACAGGTCGCGATAAGGAAAGATTTGTATGCACCCAGATCTCAAGAGATCCCGTTCGGCCTTTTTTGTTTTGCGATGGAAACATTAGAAGATGAAGGAGTCGTCGCGTCGCGTGAGATTGTGAATTTCATTGATATTTTCTTGTGTTGTCGGTCATCATAGTCTTGAAACCGTTGACGCCTCAGAAAATTCTTCGCGTTGCCTCCGGAAGACGATATTCATAATTTACCTTGTTTAAATCGATTAGCTGTAATGGCCGTCTGAGACAATCCTCCCCAAAGTTTTCGTATATCATTTTCAAGTACCTATCCATTCGAATCGCTGCTTTCGCTGGATCAAAGCATTCGGCTCTTGCAAATCGTAACCGGAAGGCTCTAGCTTCTATCGTTTCATTGCTTAATTTCTCTGCTAATCGATAATACTTAATACTTTCCCCTAGAATCTTCAGTTGATTTTCGAGAGCATTTAATCCCATTGACACAAGTTCATTTGGCTCTGCTAACGCCAAAGAGTTCGTGCCCTTGACATCTTCACAAACCTGATACTGCTCGTGGAACGAAAGTTGGCTCATTTCTCTCTCTAGAAGGTCGTCAACAGCCTTTACATCAACTTCTGCGCAGCTTCGGGGAAAAGTTGGTAGACGAGGATCATGGTCCATAGTCGAGGATGATTCTTGGCAATTCACAATGGCATCGCACAAATTCGTGTCCTATTTCACGATGATAATATTAGTAGTACGGGTACCGTATTATTTATGATTTAGTCACAACGTCACGTACGTACGGTACCGTATCATAGCAACGCGTCAGTATTCGAAAAAAGCAGACGAGGAAAAAAATTCTTGTGAATTTTCTTATTCTACCGTACAATAGATTCCAGACTAAGATCCCATGTATTACTCAAATTAAAAAAAAAACGTATTTTTATTGCCCATGTGCAGCATATGTTTTGAATGAATGGTTTCTAATCGATGCAGTTTCATTTGATAGGCTATTTGTAGGATACTTCGCACCGATGCTGACTTTTGGTGTGCAACTGATATAGTTTTGTCAAAAAGATGAGAAAAATATCTTGTGAAAACTATTTTTCTACATAATGCTCTCGAGTATTTCGGTAGGTAGGACGAAAGTAGGAACTAAGTACCAGGTACGCGCTGCAACAAGAAAAAGAAAGTGTTGATAATCGTAATCGATGGTACGAATCAGTACGAAAAAGTGTTACCATTACTCATTGTCTATTCGTGATGTAGTAGCCTCACAGTGTTGGATTTTCTGTAATTTATGGTGCAGGTTAAGAACAAAATAGAGTCATTCAAAGTATTCTAACTAGTCAAAAATGCATTCTAATTGGTCACAACAGAAATCCACTTTTCTTGTCACAAATGAAAATCCATGACTAAATTAAGCAATTAGTAATTTACAAAATTGGTCGATCAGATTGCTTGATTCTAACCAAATAATGATTGCATTAGTAGTAGTAGTACTATTACCCACTATCTGCCCTACTAACTTTAGTAAATTGACACCACTGAGGAACTTGTCATACTAACAAGAAGAACAAAAATAAAATGTCCAAAACCAAGAGTGTTTCTTGTTTAAATGGTGACACCTGTGAGTAGGAGGAGGAGGAGTATGATTAATAAGATCTACTCGTAAAAAGAAAGAACTTTTTTCTTTTTACTTGATAGTACTACTAGTACTAGTATAATTGAACTATACTACATGTGATACTAGTAGTAATGACACTACTACTAGTAGTACTAGTACTCATCTCTCAGAAGAAGATGTTTGTAGTAGAGCCACCCCCAAGAAGATTCCTTGCGGGTTTTTTTAGCAGCAAGAATAGTAGTTGTCACACATGCTGCAACAACAAGCCAAAATCACAATGTTGGATAAGTACTACTAGTAGATCTCAGAATCAAATTGCATCCATTGGTTTCAAGAAGTCAACAATCAAAACCCTTTCTGGATGATATTGTGCTGCTAATGACAAGTTGCTTGCTGACATTGAAAGAGTGTCCCCTACCAAGTAGTACTACTGTCCCTATTATGGCACTACTACACCATAGTAGTACTCAAGATCCATATTTATGTGGTACCAAGCATATGATGTATGAATGATACACAAAAGGGGGTATTCAAAGTGTCAAGAAAAGTACTATCTTGTTCCTCTGTGTCACTCAAAAAATAAGAGTGCCATGACTCTACTACAATTGAAAACACAAGAAAGCTTCCTCAGCAAAATCTTGAGAGATAAGAACCAATGAAACAAGAACCTCCAAAACCCAGCAGAGAGCTCAACAAGCTGGCCAGAAGGCTAAAATTGTCACTTGTCAGGATCCCAGACATTATGAACCACCAAAGACAGGGATCATATAACTACTTCATAAAGATTGATCTATCAACGATGTTCAATTTGCTTTGAACTGGACGGGGAAAGCCAGAAGATTTACACCACACTCAGAACAGAACAGAACAGAACANCAGAACAGAACAGAACAGAACATGGCAACTACTACAGATGCCTCTGCCTTCCTATGGTGGTCTTGAAATCAATCCTTGACTATAGTACTCAGGCTTTCATCATGAAGATCCTAGATAATTTAGATATTGAAATGTACATTGATGATATGGGAATCTGGAATTCCTGTTCTTTCTCCAGGCATCTGAAACTAGTTGACAAAAGTCTCCAGTGCTTGTCTGAAAAAGGCATGAAGTGCAACCCTCTCAAGTGTGAATGGGCAGTCAAACAAGAATCAGACTTCTATGGTATCAAACCCTGGCAGAAGCAGGTAGGCAGCATCCTAAATATGGGATTCCTAACTAATCAGAAATAGGTTCAATCCTTCCTACTACTAGTAGGAGTAGTTGTTAACTACTATAAGAAGTCTATGTGGCCACAACCCTCACATGTTCTTGCCCTGCTGACAGCCCTCTCTGGTTCCATCCCTTACATGTGGACCCCCCCTGCTTGTGCTCAAGCTTTCAAGAAGACAAAGGTTTTGCTTGCACATAATATTATCAACATATTTCCAGATTTGAATATACCTTTGACATATAACAACACCTCTGATTACCAGCTTGGCGCAGAAATTCTTCAGGAGCCAAAGCCCTCTACTAATATCAAACACCCCAGTGCTTACTACTGGTCTAGTAGTAAGAAGCTGGATGAGGCCTAAAGGAACTACTCTACCATGGGAAATGAGTTTCTTACTGCCATGCTGTGCCTCAAGGAGTACCACTAGACCATAAAAGAACATATATAAAAAAAAGATAAATATCCTGGTGAATTTCAAGGAATTGACAGTCCCCGTTGTTTTGTTCTTGGGACAGGAGTTGTATGAATTCCTTCTCAACCATCCACTCACCACAGAAATGGACAACCCCCTGACAATTGAATCAATCTTTGTGCAAATAGTTGTACGGTCAACACTGCCAGATCAGAATCATTATTGACCCAGTCAAAAAGAAACATGGGCTCTTTTGAGATGCTCCTCACAGTACACCCCCTAAAGAAAGACCCTCCCCAACCAGACAAAGGTAAACAACTTTGGAAAATCTACCTACCAGCAGGCGTTGTCAGCTGTACAGTCAGCAGAAGGTACCACCCACTATTGGGTGACTATGGAGCAACAGCACAATTACTGCTAGATTCTTTRCCCCCAGGCTTAGCAGCCAGGGCTTAATACCAATATCCTGATCACTGCTACAGATTTAAGCAGCGTCTAGGTCAAGGATTTGGTCAACTTCCTCTGTAAGAAGATCTGCTTACTAGTATGCCCTGGAATAAAGTCAATTTTGACCTGATAAGACCTTTGAAGGTTATGCTAGGAGACACTGAGCTGGTGATTGATGCTCTCGCCTGCATGAACCCAGTTACAAGTACATTAGAGATCATCAAAATCAAGAACAACAAACAAACAAGCAAACACATAGCAGTAGAACAATTTGCAAATTACTGGTTAGCTTGATATGATACCAGGCTCAACAAATGCACTCATGACAATGAAGATGAATTGCTCAGAGTAGTAGCTTTCAAACAGTTGCTGAAGCAATGTGGAGTAAAGAGTGTTAAAACAACTGTAAAGAACCCACAGACTAATGCAGTTTGTTCTGAGAGAGTACACCAAAGCAGCATTGTCAATGTACTTTGAGCCACACTACACACAAAGGCCAGAAAATGAAGCTAAACTCAATGAAGACCAACTGATTCTTGACAATGCTTTAGTCTCTGCAATACATGCTAACAGATGTGCAGTAAGCCTGTCATTGTACAGACCTCACCAGGAGGCATGGTATTCAATTGAGACGTGGAAATGGGCATTCCTATCATAATGGATCTAACTGTCATCAGGGACAGATGACAACACCTCCTAATTGCTGATGGAAACAGAAGAAGAGAAAATGCCAGAAGAATCAATTCTAGATATCAACAAGTTGGACAACAAGCCTACATGAAATTCTTTGAGCCAAACAAGATTTCACAAAGACTTCACTGACCATATCCCATCATGAAGGTTGACACCAATGGCACCATGGCACTATTGGATAGAAGTGACAATGTTTGTAAAACAGTGAGCATTTGGAAACTAGCATCTATAAAGGCAACATGAATGACACCCRTGCTTAGCCAGCCACTGTTGAAGAACCAGAAGCCCCAGCAGAAACCAAGGAAATGATAGCTATAGTTTAGTATTTCTGAGTAGCATTCCTGTTGGGGATAATGCAAGGAGTGCAGTGTCAGGAGGAGGCCAGTCATCAGCCTCCAGGACTGGACCTACATATAAACTATTTACTACATGCTACTGCTAGTAGTACTACATACCTTAGTACCCTACAAACTGGCAAGAATAGGTGTCAAGATTGGAGGTTCAAAGCCCTGCTTGGTTGTGCTTTCAGAGAGACTCCTTGGAAAGAAGTGCCACCCCTTGGAGCAGCTAGTAGGACCATTGTTCTTCTAGTATCAGAAGTTCAGTTCCTGGCTATCATACTAGTGCCTCTTCTAGTTCATGAGGCTAAACATAACATTAAGATTTTACTTTTTACACTTCATCCCCTCAAGATTGAGAATATCTTTCTCAATGTCAAATATCAAAAGATATGAGACCTCCAAAACCCCCTGTAGGCCAAGTACAAGGAYCTGTAGGGAACAGGAACAAAATAAAGTGATTTATGTCTCCTTTAACATGGATTAGCATGTGAAAGGTGTGTTGACACTTCAGATACCAAATAAGATGAATAATTCATATTCAATCATACAAATTGAAACCAATTTGTTCTATGCAGTACAACATGCAGAACCATTACTAAAACTAGACATATGCATGAGCTTGATTAATTTCTAAATTTTTCACATGAAAATATCTATTACTAGTAGTAAAGACACAGCAAAATCTAAAGTTTCCATTGACAATGGTGGTACCAAGGAGCTCCTTCATTTCTGAATGCAAATGACATACTATACTAATAAAGCATGCTATACTAATAAAAACTGTAGTTTCAAAAATTAATTTTATCTTGGCTAGTAGTTTCATGTGCAAGTAGTAGCAGCAGCATATCAACAACAAAATGACTGTTCTTGGAACCCGTTTGACCCCATTAAATCAAGAAAATGATGACATGATCATTTAGTAGTATAGGCCCTCCTGTTTGAAGTCTTATTTGATTCTTAATTACAAGTATCTTAATTAGAAAAATGCTGTAATCATGATAGCACATAAAGCAATATTGGATGAGATGAGTATGATGCAAAAAGAACCATTCAAATTGCCCACCAAATATTGAGCTTATTTTAAATTTCAAATTTCAAAATTGAGGTGCTTAGTGGACTCTCATTTTGGGACAGAGGAAGTACTTCTAACCGGTACGAGCTCTTTTTGACCGTACGGTACGAGCCAAACTTTTCGAGGTTTTCATCGCCTGCAGAGCATCCAACGGAAAGAAAAATGAGGCCAAAAACTATGAGCGCACTTCCCAAATCCACATCCGACGATGAACCACTCTCGATCAACTTGACAATGACGAAATCGACAACAAATACTATCACATACTCCGTACCACAAGCTGTATGAATAAGGCTGATGCCAACGAAGTCATTCGAAACTAGTATTGCAAAGCTGTGCCAAACTTTATCTGCTGTCGTACCGTTACCTTTTTAAGCATTCTTCAGACCCGTCTCGATTTCAATGCAACAGGACGTTCGATATCGAAGAATCGGGGGTGATCAGCCCTACCGCGACGACCCAACGGTACGTAGCTTCGCGATCAACTGCATGACATCTATTYTTTTCGTTCGCAAAGTGATCCATTGGCATTCTCGGGAGATGGAAGTCTGTTTCAACGGAAACCAATGACAAATTATTTTCTTTCTTCGATTTCAATCCATGAAGAGTGCTCCAATCCGAATTGGTTCCGTTGGAACAACAACATCAAACGACTTGAAGAAGAAACAATCGTATCCCTTGTCTCCAGCAACGAAGGGCCTAGGATATTGCTGTTCGTTGGCGAGTGGCCCAAGGGAAGACGAAGGTCCTTATGGCCGGTACTACCGAGACGATTTCAATGATTTTTCGTGGAACTGCAGTATAGGGACAAGTGACGAAGATGGAATTTGGCTAAATCGGGGAGATCCGGCAGGATCTATAATGTGTGTTATGGTATGGATACTCATGGGCTATTCGTGCTTGACAGTCACGCTTCTGGCGAAAACGGGAGGTATCTCATGGTATCAGTCGTCAGTGTACTCTATTCTTGTGACTATGTCATTGGCGTGCCACATCAAAACAACGTTCACGGATCCTGGTGCCGTCCCAGCGTCGGCTGTTCCTACTGAACCTCAACGGATGATGAGCGAGAGGCTTTCGATGTGTTCGCAATGTCAGACCTTCAAGCCACCGCTTTCTCATCACTGTCGTATTTGCAATCGCTGCATAAGTAAAATGGATCGTAAGTTACATCAAACTTAGACTGGTTTGTTCTCTCAAATATCAGCCGAGGTGATCCATAAGACTTGATTCAGGAAAATCATCCAATAGTCTATCTTGATATTCGGTATTTCTGACCTCTTTCTCCACTTGGATTCTGCGTCTAATTCTCATGCCTTAGATCACTGTCCGTGGATGAATAACTGTGTCGGTGCCGGAAATCTCAAGCATTTCTTCCTTTTCCTGATATACACGTGGACTTGTAATGTTTACTGCCTAGTTTTGCTTGGATGGAACTACTTTTTTTGTGCAAGCGAAGACTGTGAATTCAACGTTGTTCTAACACAATTAGTTCGAATCATGACAGTATTGTGCGTCGGATCTTTTCTATTTACATCAAGCATGATTATGAACGTAATATATGGAATCATGACGGGGGTTGGGACAATTGATCGTCTCAAAAAGAAGGCAGCCGACACTATGAAAGATAGTATCGAAGAACCAGTGCCATTGATCGATATATTTGGAATTGGACCTTGGTGGACTTGGCCTCTTCCGATAGATCCAATTTTCGAAGACTTTGATGCCGTCATGGGATTTGCGACGCCACAGAGATTATTGAGAGAACAAATTTTGCGAGAACAAGCTCAACAGGGAATTGAAGGGCACATATCTCCAGTTTAATGAATAGATTTTTGTCGAAGAAGAAATCGAACATTCGACTGGGAAACACTAAGCATTTGTCGGAAATACACATATTGAAGAATAACAGAATATGAGTAGCATGTTTAACTATGATTGATTCATATTTTAGCGTTTTGTTTGAATTCCTGATTCTTTCGCACCAAGACATGCAAGCATTCCTCAAGCTCTTTCATGGTATTCGCAGAACGGAAACCATCCACCATTGGTGGAGGTAGCTGGATTTGCATGAAAATTCTAGTGATTGCGTTTTCCGATACTTCGGGAAGACGGGCCTTGAGAATTTCTAAAATTCGAGCAAACTCGACAAGCACTCGAAAGTCATTGGCATCGTCGACATCAAATACACCATCCGTGCGGAGAAGAACCTGAAACATGCCCGGAATCAGGGAATCGCAAACAAATGTAACGTAGCCCTGAACAACGAACTCTGGTGCACCACCACTGATGTTTGTGCCTCTGACATCTGGCACCCATTGATTGAGCAAAAGCCTAAAGAAAATTAGGCATGTCTTCTTCATCAAAGAATCTTCGACGTTGATAGCCCCTTCGCTCATGGATTGCAAGATCGCTTCAAGGCTCGAAGCATTAGCAGATGACAACAGGACTCCCGTGACATCGTTTGCAACGACGTGGTTCAGAACGGCAAAAGAAAGTTTCTGAATCGACAGTTCCTCGGTGCGAAGGTGTGGTGCAACCGTAGCATCCTCGCCTTGGTGGCGTTCCTGCGCACTGCTGTTCTCCGAAACGACCGTGTTGGAGAGGTGGTGACATTTTTGCAAAAAGGGCAGTAGATTGCTATCCAAAACACACATGGCTTTCGCTCTGAACTTGATGCACAATTGGTTTATCAGCTGAGAAACATCAAGGATATCCCCAGAGTTGCAGTGTTTGATCAATATAAATAGGAGACGGGGCATGACATCTAAAACCTTGTCCTCCAAACACTGGATTAGGCGTTGGACGAATATGTAAGTCTTGTTGCGGACTTCTTCGTTGTTTGGTAGCATTTCTAAAACCGAGAACGCAACCTTGAGCGTTTCGAGCAAGACGTTTTGGACTTCGATTGGTGGTTTCTTAAACCCCTTGCTCAGATAAGCAATAGCGGCGACGGAATTCGATAGTGTTTCTCCGTATGCATCGGGATCCTGCGCAAGCTCGTGTTTCTTGTCATTGAGAATGGTTTCGATGGAGCGAACGTGCGGCGTCATGACTTGTGTCAGGTACTGGCCTTGCTCGGAAGGAGACAATCCATTCTTTCCCAAAAGCAGGCCGATGGTTTCGAAGAGATTCAGAGTATCGTCGACGCGCAGCTCGATGCTCTTGTTCTCCAACAGGCTCTGGATCCCGGAAACGGCTGTTTCCACGTATGGTCGCAACAAGCAATTTCCACCCGATTTTTTGTTCCCCGAGGTTCCCATCGACTTGATGAGTCTTAGCAACAAGTAACAGCATCGGGATCTTACTTTCGCGTCTTCGTGCTGGAGTCCCCGTGTCCCGGTAATTGCGCCCAGCACTTTTTGCAGCAAGTCCGACCGTTCCTTGAGCAGTGGGTAGTATCGAACACTGGTTTCGTAGTACAGAATCAAAATCTCCCTGTGTGGATGCTCCGTGATGTCGCTCGTGTGAAGGCCGACCAAGAGGTTGCAAAATGTTTCGTTCCGCATCACCACTTTCATTCCGGGGGGAGGTCGGATTCCCTCGCAGTATTGATACACCAGGCTGATCGCGACCTCGACGTTCGGGGTTGGAGCGGTCGAGAGCGGGAGGGGGAGCTGGGACAGGATCTGGCAGGTAAACTGGAGGCACAGGTCGGGGTTCGCGCGAACGAATTTTTTGTTGAGTTTCCTGAGTTCCGTCCGGTACATTTCCTCCTCCGCTTCGTCGTCGTCTTCAAAGTCGTACTGAAAATCGGGAGGATACCTCATTTGGTTGTACGTAATGGTCAAGAGTTTCGGGAGAAGGTTTTCTTGCTGCTTGGGACACTGCGCCGGATCKGACAGCGAAACMAGCGAAGCAGCTAGCGGTATGACGGCCCCAGAGACATCGATGTCGTCAAAGGCAAAACACCGAAAGAACAAATCGATCAGCTGGTTGTTCAGGGTAGCCACGTCGTTGCTGTCGGCCAGTCCGCCCTGTTGTTGTTGCTGCTGCTGCTGCTGCTGCTGCTGTTGTTGTGCCTGCCGCTCGAAAACAATCGGAAGGATCTCCAGGCCGGTGCGGTTGATGAACCTGGCGACCTCCATCACGACGTCGATCGAGCTGGCGTCGACGGTCACTAAATCCACGTGCGCGTGTATCTTTTCCAAGACCTTCGTGTGCACGAGCATGGACAGCTTCTTCTCGTCGTTCATCCCCCGGGCGATGAGTTCTTCCATGCACTCCACCGCCACCACCCCGGCGTCCGCCGCGCGTTCCGCGTCGACCTTGCTGCCCTTCGCCAGGGCGGCGTAGATCAACCGCAGGACCTTCTCGTTTCCCGTCACCAGGGTGATGTCGACCCACGACAAGAACCCCTTGAGAACCGTCAGGGACAGGACGCTGTAGACCTGCATCTGCTCGTCCGGTCTTCCGCTGGTTTCCACCAGGGCCCGCTCCAGTATCGACAGGACCGTGTCGAGGAGATGGCCGGAGATGCTCTGGTCCGGGGCGACGACGAGGCTGCTCGAGTCGTCGTAGCCCCGCATCAGGTCCTTGATCTTGGTGTTGACCTCGGTTTCGTCCCTCCCAAAGTCGTCCGTGAGCGCCACGAGGGTCCGCAGGAAAATGTCGGACTCGGTTTGCAGCAGGAGGGGCGCCCGCAGGTCGTCAAAGGCGGACGGCCAGGCGTGCGGGAAATCCAGCTGGACGAACCGTGCCAGCAACACCCCGATCTTGGTCCGCAGGTAGGTGGGGCTCCAGGAGGACCGGTTGTGGTAGTTGTTGCCGGTGGAAACCAACGGGATGACGGCGGCGTCGCCCTGCGAGAGGGAGGAGGACCGGAGGAGCTGCGAAAATATTTCCGAGCGAAAGGCCGACCGCCGCTCCGGACCCGCGTGGTCGAGCCTCGAGAAGACCGTCAGGGCGTAAAAGAGGACGACCTCCCGCTGCGTCAACCGGACGAGCTCCGTCATGGCGTCGGCCAGGACGGCATCGCTGCTGGAGGCGACCCACTGGTTGAGAAAGACGTTCGCTTGCTGCTGGAGCCGGAGATCCGAGGCGTCCGAGGCCAGGATGACGTACTTCTCGATGTCGGGTGGTGTCATGCTTGCCCGGTGTCGTTCCGATCGGGTGCGTGTTGTGTACTGTAGATTACTTCTTGTGTTCCTTGTGCAATCTCCAATCGAACGTGTCACCGTAACATCGCAATCTCTGTTCTTTGGTATCTAGGAAGACGTGCTCATGAAATATTATCAAATGGAGGATGGAATCGGGGACAACAACGGCGAATGCCAAGAAGCTGAATGATTGATTGACTGACTGATTCGTTGATTCGTTGATTCGTTGATTCGATAGCTTCTTCGTTGGTTTGTTGATTGGTCCGAGTGTTGGACGTACGTTCTTTTCGAACCAAACGAAAAAAATAGAGCCTTCAAACGAGGCCTCAAGCGGGGAAGAAGCGCGTTGTCCCTTCGAATGGATTGTTCTGGATGCCGTTCTTGGATCGTCCTGCAAACCGGTCTCCGTATCGTGTCGTGTCGT